AACGTCATTGTTTTAGTGTCTCTTTATTATTATTATTATTATTATTATTATTATTATTATTATTATTATTATTTCATTATTTAAATTATTTTATTGTTATTATTTTATTCTCATAATAATTTTATTATTATTGTATTATTTTATTGATCTTTATTGATCTTTACTGATCAGATATTCATGATCAACCGGTCTTTGTCTCCTCAAACAGAATCCCATTCCCAGCTTCCACCTGCCCGTCAACCTGTCCGACTGGTTTCCGCAGCAACGGATGAAGACGAAGCGCGAGGAGATCAAGGAGCTGATCCTGAAGATCCAGGAGCAGCAAGAACCGGACAGGAAGGAGCCCGACCGGGTCGAGGCTCCGCCCTCTTCTCCCGAGGAGCCCGAGATCGAAGAGACTTCTGGGTCGACGGGCCGGCCGCCACACTTACCCATCAGCCCCTGAACCGACCCCACCCTCCTCCTCCTCCTCTCCCCGTCACTCGGGCCCAGCGGGGGGGCCCGGACCTGATTGTACGCTGCTGGTTTCACTTCAACATGTGGGAGAAGCGAGCCTGGACTCCCTCCTCCTCTAACTTTGGATGGAATAAAGTGAAGTGTACAGACGCTGGAGTTTCCCGCTGCCTTTGTTACTGACAGGAAGCGGCTCATTAAGTTATGGTTCGTAGATGTTCTCCACCAGGACACGGTGGCGCTCTTGCATCCTTATTTTTTATGCTTTCTAGTTGTGTAGAAGACAAACTCTCAGAGAAGAAGAAGAAGCATAGAGGAAGTTGCTGTTGTTTGTAAGTGAATAATAATAAAGCTTCCAGCTCACATAGTCACAGTTCAGTGCTTGTTGATCTGCAGCATTAAAGCCACAGTGGATACAGGAGCTCTGCCTGTCTGTCTCTCTGCCTGTCTGTCTGTCAGCCTGTCTGTCTGTGAGAGTGTGTGTCTGTGTGTGTGTGTGTATTTATTTCCAGGTTCTGAGACGTTGAAGCAGCTTCAGAAACTTTCACTGTGAAACCAGATAAGTTCATTAAACATTATAATTTAAAGTAACAAGTAGCTTTATTCATTTTCTTAAAGTTATTAATCAGTAATGTATGTTATATATTTCTGTAACTTAAAATTACTTGTAAAATCATCAACAACTAAAATAAATGTAGTTTGTGTTACTTTAAATGTTCAGTCTCAACAACCTTTATTAGTTAAACTAACTTGGACACGAGAACCACCAGGGGGCGCTCTCGGGTAGAATAATATTTAGTGCAGTGCCAGAGGGCTTCACATAACATACAATAATATATGTATAAAATATATCATTATACAACTGAAGGTTGTGTGGAAAACAAACAAAACCATAAAATTCATAAAATAACATTAAATTAAATATGTTTACTATATATTACATCTTATATTTACGTTCTTCCTGCAGACTGAAACTCTTAAACTCACTTCATCATACAGACTGTTATTCATTCATCCCTCTACTGTATATATTTAATATATATAACGATTGACAACTTAAACTCATTGTGCTGTAAACACTCCCTCCAGGATTATACAGGCTTGTTTTTTCAGCAGCTTTTCTTACAAACTGATGAACGTCAAGATGTTTTTGTGCAGAGAAACTGGAGGAGAAAGTAAAAAATTACAAAAATACTTTTTTTTATTTGTCCTATTCAGTACAAAATGGACCAAAAACAGAGGATCAACTTGTTCCAGTGAATAAAATCACAGTTTGGTGACTTTATGGATCAACAGACTCTCAGGATATGTTCACAGACTCTGAAGGTTTCAGCCACTGGGGGGCGCCACACATACAGAAAATGGGTGAAGAACACAAATAAAACTAAATCACCTGAAGACTGAAACTGGTGAATCTTGGTCAAATTTGTAGAAAAGTTTCAGTGATTTAACAAAACTTTAATACAGATCGACTGAATCTTTCTTTAAACTGTTTAATATTTACCAGCTTCACGAGTTGACAAAGACCTGAACTCACCATGAAATGATTTTATTGTGTATTTAAATGTTTAAATGTAGGTGAAACACTTCATTTCTCAGCTCGTTGTGCTTTAGTATAAAATTAAACTCTGGATGTTTGTGAATGCAGCGAGAATCTGACACTGTCGGATTCAGTTAAATATTTAATCAGGTGAATAAAGACGAGACTTTGTTCTTTGAAGAGTCAGACAGACGGTTTAATGTCAGCAGTGATCTGTTAATGACGTCCCTCCTCTGTCTGTGGCTGCGTTCGTATGGAAAGCCTAAAGGGTCACAATTCTTCACCTTTCAAACTCTTTTCAACTTGTTAAGAAAATACCGTAAAACAGCAGCATTGATGTGTTTCATATAATTCAGTTTCCAGCTCTAAGAACACATTCTTCAGTCTCGTATCTCTGCTCGACTCTGGATAAGTTGATCGTAGATTCCTGCAGGACGTTTTTTAAGTAGTAATTTTATTTACTTTACTTACAGTTACAGAATTGTTCACATTATTTTACATCAGACATTTACAGACTTATTGTAATATCATTAATAATATTTATAATATTGGTTATAAAATGCTGCTCTCAGCTTTCAGTCTGGCGTTCGGGGACTCGCTCTCAGACTCGGTGTTACGTTACTGAACAATAAAACATTCATGAGTCTTGAACTGTTTGTCTGTCCACTGATGTGAATCCTTATTAATGTAAATGCTTCAAGTGTTTGTGGAAGCAGCTGAGACGGCACTGGGTTAACGCCAGGTCCACTTACTGGCATTATTCGGGGCTGTCAACCACATCTCACTGCCTTCAGTGGACAGATATAGTTCCCCTCCTAAGTTTCTGTTTAGTCAGATTCTGTATCCAAACAAAGCAGAAAGAAATTTAAATCTCTTAAACTTCAGACACATTTTTAGTTAATTGTTGAAAACCTCCTTGGATGATGTCCGAATCACATATCACAGAAATAACCGACAGTCTTTAGGAGGCGTAGACCGGCTCCTCCACAGCGGGGACTTCTGCCCCAAGAGGAGAGGTAGAGAGTCCACTGGGAGCTCAGCTTGGACTGAAGACTGCTCCTGGATGAGGTTCAATGTGAGACTCAATCAGAGACCTGATCCATCAACATCCTGGATCCTCAGACCGCGTTTGGACCCGAGTCCAGGACATCGATGATGTTCGGGGCTCAAACACAGTTGAACTGAATGAACTCTGTTTTTATGTGAAGATGAAACCAGATTAATTCTCTATCCTGTTGTTTACATTCAAATATACACTGAAGAGTTATTACCTGTGAGAACGTGAGTGTATGGATATAAACATATATTTATATATATATTTATATATATATTTAACTGGATACGATCAAAAGCTCTGGAACAGAAACAACATAAAGCAACTTCCTGTTAGTGGAGCTAAAAACTGAAATATTAAACTAACCGGATCTGGTTCCAAAGATGTTTTACTGAAAGTCACGAATACAATCAAGTCCTCACGAGTTTAATTTAATATTTAACATTTTGGACTTTTAAGAATGTTTTACTCTAATATATTTGGTGTAATTTTAAAGGGTTCATTTAATCCTCTGTGAGTCTAAAAAATCCACAATAAGAGTTAAAAGTCCAGTTTACTGTGGTGGAAATATAATAATTATATGTGTTCATTTATATATAAATATGATGTTTAATCACCTTAAATATAAATTGTTGGGAGTTGTAGTCCTTCACACTGCTCCTTTAACTGTTAACATCCCATAATGTCTGTTCACAGGTGGCAGCGACATTAATATCGTTAATATCTGGTCGGTATTCTGGCGTTGTCGTTGTGTTGGTGGCAGCCGGCGGCGAGCGCAGCCGCAGACACAGATTAGCAGCATTGTTATTATCTCAGTTAATCCCCAACCTGGTTCTTCTGCTCAGTGTACCAGCAGCAGTGAGGAAGAGGAGGTCATATCTTCATCAGACAGTCAATGTCTGTTAAATAAAGGAGATATATTTATATAAGGGAGATAAAACCAGCAGCAGTGAATTCATTCACTCGTTCATGTTCTCCAGAGGATGAAGCCTTTCAGCATCACTGAGTCAAACCTTTATAATATCTGTATAATGATGAAGACTCCCCTCTGATCACTCACTCTGTTAACTGATCGCTGTATAAAATCAATATCTGATAATATTAAACAAACTTTAAAATATCCCCAGTAGGTCGATATCTGAACATCCTGCAGTTATAACAACCAACAAATAAAGAAAATATATTATATATTGTATTAAGTCTGTTGATTGTTAAAATGATCAGGAAACTAATCTCTGATCAATTATCGGCTCAGAATTCGACTAAATTGATAATTTTACACAAACTTCCTGTTTTTCTTATCTTTATTTATATTTTTCTGTGTTTATTGTTTTGCAACATTGATCAGAAACCAACCTGATAATAAACCTGATTCAGTTATTGACAGTTGATCAGCTGTTAATAATATATGTAATATAATCCGTTTACTCAGTGATAGAAGAAGGAAGCAGCAGTTTATGTGTTAAACACCAATAACACTGAAACAAAGATCCATAACTGAAGTTACAGGATTCACAATAAAGTTTATTTTCTGCTTCATATAGACAGAAGTTATTGTACGGAGGCTCGGAGGAGCCAAACGTGATAAAAACTGCTGTGTTTGTGAACAGCTGATGTGTTTGGAGCAGTTTGGGGTTCAGTATTTTGCTCAAGGGCACTTCGACATGCAGCCGGAGGAGCCGAGAATCGAACCGCCAACCTTCTGATCAGTGGACGACCCGCTCTGCCTCCTCGTAATAATAAATCCTAATAAATAAACATTGATCAGCGTTCAGGCTGTAAACAAAGAGACACAGTTTGTTAATATATATATATATATATATATGTTATATATGTTATATATCTGTATTCAGTGTGCTGTTGTTGTTTGTCCTGTACACTCTGAACTCCTCCTCTGGGAGGTTTATATCATTTTTTATTATTAAAAGTTTTAGTGTGTTTTAGTCTCCCCGCTGCAGTAGAGTCGACCTCTGACCTCTGTTGAATCTGTTCAGTTAAACAGGAAACACATAAACAAAGGAGATAAATGTTTTATTGCTTAAAGAATAAATTCATTACATTAAAAATAAAGATTTTCTGACAGATTTAGTTGCTTTATAAATTCATATTTTTACACACAAAACATGAAAATATGATTATAAAATGTTTTGTTATAAATTAAATTACAGAATTAAACAAAGAGAAAATTAATTAACTGTCGACTGAAAATTAACTGGAACTATTTTATTTTGATATAAAAGGTTTAATGGTTCCAAATTTCCTTTAATTATTTAATATTTTAAATAAAACGATCACAATAAAAACAAAATTTTGTAAGTTAAAAATATTCTTCATCAATAAGCTTTAATAGTTTTAGATGACACTAAATTACTTAGTTTAGAAATGTTTATTTGTATTGTGAAAAATAATAAGAATGTTTCTAATTTGTGAAACTTAAAATGTTCGATATGTTGTAGAAAAAGTATAAAATATAAAATAGAATAAGAGTTATATGTCCACTTTATAAAGCTTTTATATACAGATGTGATTGATCCGGACGCAGCAGGTGGTCGTGGCACAGAGTATCAATAAATATTAATAAATACAGTTTAGATAGTGGAAATATCAATATAAACTATATTATATATTAATAATACAAAACTATATATAATGTATCTTAGATTGCTGTCAGAATCACACCACTTTCCCACAATCATCCAATCATCCAATATAATATAATATAATATAATATGATATAATATAATATAATATGATATAATATAATATAATGTTATAATAATGTTATAATATGTTATAATAT